GAGTGGTGATTAAATGTAGTATATTTTATTTTTTAATATTAAAATATAAACATTTATATTTTAAAATATGAATAATTAATTTTTAATATCAACCTTAAATTAATTAAAAAAGAGAAAGTTATATAAAAATATAAAAAAAAATGGAGTGGGAGTGATGATTAAAGTAAAAATATCTATTTCAATCATTTTAATATTAAAAGATCTTTTACAAAAAATTCTACCAAACAACTTTTGACTCTAAAAATACTTCTATAAAAAACTTTTACCTAACACTCTCAGCTTCTCAAAAATAGTATTTCTACAACAGATTTTTTCTAACATGACTTATATCAAAAGCTCAAACCACACCAAACGGGTGTTTTCTATAGTTATCCCTCATTTATTTAGTGGTATTTAACATTAGTGAAGATCATGGTTAATTTTAGGAGAAGTTGCAAGCCAAGTTTAGCTAGTGGGTGAGGTGGCATAGAGATGGCAAGATCTAGAGAGGGTTTTAATTAGGTTTTTTGCTAAGTTATCTAATTATCCCATGAATATCTACCATGTTCTGTAGGAATGGAAGTGGATGGTTACAATTTTACTCAAGACATATAAAAGAGAAAAATAAAAAAGAAGCAACACATAGCCAGCCCTACACACAACTCATCAAATTCAGTTTTCTAGTTTCATAGCTACTATTAATACAACTTCTAGATATTAGTTTAACACAACTTCCAATCAGATTTAGGTTAGTTTTAGCTTCTATAGCAATCTATTTTTTTATTTAATGATTTTGAGATAAATCTCATTTCCTCAAATGTCAACTTATATGGCTTTCAAGCCTCTCATTCATGTTTAATTTAACTTCAATCTTCTTTGCCTAATCATCTCATTTCCTCAAATGTCAACTTATATGGCTTTCAAACCTCTCATTCATGTTTAATTTAACTTCAATCTTCTTTGCCTAATCATCATGATTACATAGCTTTACTCTAGCTTCAAGCCCATTTACTTTTCCAGTTCTACAACAATTTAGTTTGATCTACTAGTAGCTTGATAGTTAAATATGTTAGTAAATTTAGATGAATGCTCGTTCATTTCACTCATTTCATTTATTGTGGATCCTTAAACTTTTGGTTAATGGTGGTGTTTTAAAGTTTTTAGAGTTGTCCAAGGTAGGTTAGTAACTCATTTTGCAAAAAAGTATCCATTTCTCATGCAAATCATTTGAAGGCACAGAACTTAACCTTAAACCAACATTCTTCTAGCCATCCTAATAGAGGTTGACTATTTGAAAGTAGAGAATCATTGGGAAAATTATACTTTCTTACTTTACAACAAAGTAGGTAGCACGCTCTGCATCCATATCTACCACATGTGGTGCCACTTTAGATTTTTGAGGAAACAATAGGATTAAATGATATTTTTTAGTGTGAGTGGAAGAATATTTTATTTTTATTTGTCTTTTAGGAACAAGAATGTAACATTGTAATCCACGTTGGTGAATGTTGGCAGGCATTTGATTTTTTTAAGATATAAAAATAATTAGCAATATGACTAATGTTGCCAATGATTGGACCAAGATCTATTATATTAGTGCATTTTAATAAAATAATATTGAAAATAATATTATTCATAAATATTATAGCAATGTATGTGTTCAAAATAATGGACATAGTTAGGTGTTTTATGAAAAGCTTTTACATTGCCTCGTATACCACTCGTTGGTGATATATATCTTGCTGTATAGGCTGTAAAGGTCCGGTCACCAGTCTGGTAACCTTTATTTAGCAATGTTTTGCATATCGATATATTGAAACGTTGTTGTTTCTCTACTTTCTAGTAGTGGAGATTAATGGATGTGTAATGATAAATAGAAGAATTTTTATGAGGTTCAAAAGAAACATCAAATTTAAAAAATTACATTGTACCTAATTCAATTTAAGTCTTCTAAGAATTTTAACTTACAACAATAAATTCTTCCAAGAGCTTAACCCATCATCATTTAACTCTTCTCAAGAGTTCAAAGTACTAAAATTATTTCTTCAAGTAATTATTCTTCTTTGAGATAGTATTAATTTCTGAAGGCATAAACAAACTCTACGCCAATTTACAAACAGTGAATTCATGTGATTGTTCAAACTCCACTGCACGACATTACCAAAACAAAAAAGAAAAAGAAAAGAAAAACCTTCATTGTTGGAAGCCAAGTGAAAACATCTCCCACCCCACACAGAACCACCTTACTGCCTTCATCCTGTTCCACATCAAAGTTTTCCATCATACATGGCATTGCAGGCCTCACTAGTTCCCCACCTTTCTCTAATTGAATCTGTGCGGCCTTCCACTCTCTGGTTGAGGATATCCTGCGCTTCTTTTTTGTTCTCTGCTGCAAAAACCAAACCAACAAGTTCGTAACAGTAGTATTATAGCAAAATCAAAATTTCCAACAAGGAACAAGAGGCAGGGTTACATTTTGTTGCTTCAGCTCGTCAAGTTTATTTCTGAGCTCAGCCAATTCCGTTAACTGAACTTGCACCTTTCGATTCACAGAGACATTGTTTCTTTTTAGAGATTCGAATTCATCATTTAACCGCTTCATTTCTGCCTCAAGTGTCTCCATGTTGGACTTCATTAGTTGTGATTTTGCCTGAATTTCGTGTTTTAATCCTCCATTTTCCCCCTCAAATGGCTCCAGATTAGACTTCATTAGCAGTTCCTTTTCGTTAATTTCACGCTTCAATCTCCCCTTTTCAGTTGCCTCCATAATCGAATTCATTAGCTGTTCCTTTTCATCAATTTCACGCTTCAATCTCCATTTTTCAGCCTCAAATATCTTCTTACTGGACTTCTTCAGTTGGCTCTTTTCCTTAATTAGCTTATCTCTTCCCTGAATTTCAAGATTTAATGAACCATAATATAAATATAACGTAAAAACAAATTCATAAACTGCAAATAAAATAACAGAAATGTTTACTGTGCAAAACTAATCATCAACTATCACATGGGTTTTAGGGGCCAACTTCGTTTCTATATCTAATGGCCTGATTTTGCATTAAATAGACAAAGGGGGGCAGAGATTTTCACACCTTGACTCTCTGCCTATATAATCTACTGTGCACCCTTTTCCCCGCACGCCATGGTTCTTCTTTACTAATTCCACCAATATTTCTCTGTGAATGAGGAGATTTTGACAGAGATTGGCCTAAATATTGCTCTGTTACAGGGGCTGCCTGACTGCTTTCCGCTTGATTTATCAAGCGGTCTGGTAATGATGATTCGATTGTATCTGCTGGTTGAACGAATCGTTCCTGCGGCCTTTGAATTGTTCCGGCAGAGGCCGGACTGCCTTGATTTGTGGACGAGCCTACTGTTTGACCAAATTGTTGCTGCAGATTTTGCTCACTGCCAGGCTCCATGGAATTACGCATAAGCAAATCATCTAAACTACAATCATCTGGATTTAGTGTTTCAAGTTAAGGAATTTTTATATCAAATTTCAAAGGTATAATTTTTTAGATCTATTACAAATTATTACGAGCAGAAACAAAGATATAATTTTTGAGATTGAAATTTAACACTTACATTCTCCATAAATGAGTTGCCTGTTTTCGCTGCATCTAACCGCGGAGTCTGCCATGGATTTTTTCGCAAAAGGTCTGTGGAAATGAAATGGGCATGCAGATCCAAAAAACATATATAATCTTCTTTTTCATGAAAATATGTCAGCATGGTGGGCCCCGGGGACTTTTTGGTTACATTGGGTTGGGAATATCTATGTAGTACCACAATGTGAGATTTCTCCATTTTGCTTAAAGTTTAAAGCATCATTTTGATCATCTGTCAAATCATTTCCATCGTTAAAAGAAAAACGATCGATCCTTCCATCATTTTCAAATGAAACTGTCGATCTTTTAAACAGAAAAAAAAAAACCCTGTCGATAGTCAATTAAAAAAAAAAAAACACTGTCGATAGTCAATTATTAAAGAAAAAAAACCCGTCGATCATTCCTATAGCAGGCGCGAGTACATTTTGAGGATAAATATCAGATTTACTCAATTTTTATTGTAGATATTAGATTTTGTCTTAAATTTTTATTTAGATGCAAAATAATCTTTTTTTTTTTAATTATCAAGTTCACTTTTATTTGTTAGTTATTTTTGTTGAGTTTTTAACTGAAATTTTGAGAGATTCAAAGAAATTTCCATTATATATTTTAATGTATTTTATAAAATAGTAATTTAGATGATAAATAAATTATAATTGAAAATATTTAGATTATAAAATTTATTATATTATTAAATCATTAAGTTATGCCAACAATAATTGACAAAATTTTCTATAATTGAAAAAGGGACGTTGTGTTAAACATAAGGGGAGAAAAAATGAAACATAGCATTTGGAGTTTCTCTAAAAGGAAAAAAATGAGGTTCAAGGATACTAAAAAAATTAAAATATATGTTTGGTCTTGAAAAAAGAATGGTTATGTGCTTTTTTTTCTCTCTCTCTATTTAAGGGTCATAGTGGTCTCCCAAAATTATAGTTACGATTTTTGTTAAGAACTTAACGGAAGTGATTAATAGTAGAATTAGTTTTGGTGATTTTAAAAGGGCTAGGGACCATTTTTTATCTAAATGAAGAATTAATATAATATTTGATATTTATGGTAAAGGTTGGGAACTAAATCTAACATTTACCTATATTTTAACTTTGGGCAACTTCAATGTTAAGCAAATTGAGAGATTTAAGAGTTATGGATTAATTGTGATTGAGTAAATTATGGTAATAAGTCTTAAAATTATTATCATATTAATAAATAATGATTGATACATCATTTGATTTAATATATTTTATAATATACTCATGAAAAAATTATTATTTTCAAATTTGAATTCAAAACAAAAAAACTTTTGATTATATATTTTAATAGTTGAATCAATAAATGTTGATGGATGTGGTGAACCAAAGGGTATATTAATTATTTTTCTATATTAATATTAATTTTTTATATATATAAAATTATTATGCAATTCAAATTATATCAAATTACATAACTAACATTGTTGGATGGAGAATGACTACCTAATATTGGGAGTCTTCTCTTTATCTAATGGTTTCTCTTTTACAATCTAGTATAATTTAAATTACAAAACATTCTCTTTTATATAGTTTGCTATTGTTCATACTTTAATACTTTATATTTAGTATCCAACCTCTCTCTAATATAGGGTACTCTAATTCTTTATCTTCATTTTGTTATAACAATCATCCCCAAGCTTTAAACAATTTTGAATAAAAAAGAACAATAACTGCACAACCCTCTAGTGCTAAGATCAAGACAAATCTTCATGATGCAAAGAATACCTTAATCTGACTTTAAATCATTTTAAATTGGGTGGTGCTATTGGGACAACTTTTTGATCTCACCTTCTTATACAATTTTCACATGTCATTAAATGAATAGATGCATTCAATGTCACGGATCCTACATGAATTAAAAGAACCAATCATTTTAATGATACGTCAAGTTGTACAAAAAGATGAAACAAAATGGTTGTCCCAATAGCATTTCCCTTGTAAATTTCACACTTAACAACTTATTGAAGAAATGCTAAGGATGATAAAAAAATTAATAAATTAGAGTTGATCTAACCAATTTTTGTCTAAGTCATATTATGGACCTATAACTAAACATTAATTTTGAAATTTTAATATAATTAACCAAATAATTTTTTGCTTTTAAAAAAACCGAATAATTTTTAATTTTTATCATTAATTTTAAAAATTTTCATCTTCTTCCTCCATTCTTTCTCTATTCTCCCTACTCCTTTCTCTTTCCCTTCTTTTTCTTCTTCTTTCTCCCTACCCTTTCCCCCCTCCCTCCCACTCCCTTCTGTTACTCCTCCTTTCCTTTTCTTTTCTTCCTTCTCCTCTTACTAATAATACTCTATCTACATCAAACTTCTTACTAATTGTTGTCAAATCCCATTTCAGTTGCCCTATATAATAACTTAACTTCTATATCTACATTTTATTAAAGTTAAAACAACTTAATTACCCAAATATATATAATCTAATTGTTACTTCTATTATATAATATGTTTAGCGTAGGTACATATTATACAATATTCAAAGTGACACTTTGTAAATTAATTTTTATTAAATTTACACCATTAAATATAATTAGAAAATATGAGAGAATAAAGTAAGAGAATAAGTTCAAAGAAAAATTAATGAAAGATGAAATATATGTAAGTGAAAAAGTTCCACTAGGAAAAAATTGGAGTGGAAAGGAGATATATTAGATATATAAGGATTTAAAGGAATGACTAAGAAAGAATAATAAAAATAAAAAAATAATGAGAGGAAGAATAATAAAGAATAAATTATTAATATAAAGAAGGAAATTGGGTAAAACATATAACGTGGATATGCATATAAATTTATCGCTTATAATATAGAATTATTTGTGATTTTAAGATGGGAACCTTGTTTTATAGTCTGAACTGTATCAAACTGTAAAACAGGGACCATTGGAGGGCGAGGAGGGTCCCAATAATATAGATGGCCTACCCCTATCTAATGGTTAGTGTAGTACAATTTTGTATAGTCAGAACTGTACTACACTTTTTTGTTTTAATATATGTATATGTTATTGTAATAGTGAGAAAACATAACAAGTAAATTATTAATAATATATAGAAAGAGGAAAATTAGGTAAAAAGATATATAATGATAGATGAAGATGCAAGGGGTGATTAAAGAATAATAGAGAGGGGAGGATATCTAAGGAGTAAAAGAATAATAACAAATAAATTATTAATATAGAAATGAAAAGTGAGGGCAAATATAATTTAGAATGATAAATATAGTGAGAAAATATGAGAGGTTTAGTTAAGAAATAATGTCACAAAGAAATATAATGAGAGAATAATATAACAATAAAATGTGGGAAAATACAATAAGAGAATGAGTCCCAAGAAAAATTGATGAAAGGTGAAATAGATGTAAGCAAAAAAGGTTCCAATAGGAAAAAATATTGGAGTAAGAAAGAGATATTTTATATATAAAGATTTAAAGGAATGAAATAACAAATAAATTACTCATATAAAGAGAGAAATTGGGTAAAACTTATAACATAGATATATACATAAATTTATTGCATATATAACTAAATTATTTAAGATTTTAAGATAAGTATATGTTATTGTAATAGTGAGAAAGCATAACAAATAAATTATTAATGATAGGTAGAACAAGGATGGGTAGAAAGATAAATAATAATAGATGAAGATGGAAGGGGTTACTAAAGAAGAATAATAGAGAGGGGAGGATATATAAGGTGCAAAAGAATAATAACAAATAAAAAATTAATATAGAAAGGATCAAAAGTTAGGGTGAATATAGTTTAGAGTAATAAATATAACGTGAAAATATGAGAGGGTAAGTTAAGTGATAATGTCGTAAAAAAAAATAATAATGAGAGGTGGAGAGAGGTATGCAATAAAAAAAAATACCAATGAAATAATGCTAAAAAATTGTTCCTTTTAATGTTTGACATAAGGGAGAGAGAGAATTTGAATTAAAAAAAGATATATAATGATCACTGAAGGTGCAAGGAGTAACTAAAAAAATTAATATAGTTGAAGGATAATGTGGAAAAGATTAATAGTAAATAAATTATTAATATAAAGAAGGAAAGTGATGGTAAATATAGGTAAATAAATAAATATAGTAATAAAATATATTAAAATAAGCTAAGAGATGACATAATAACAAGAATTCATAAAATGTGAAGTACAGGTAAATGTACTAAAAAGAATCCATGAAATGTGAAGGGAAATGAAAAAGTACTAAAAGAATAACACTAATGACTTATGTCATTTATAATTTGATTTAAAAAATTATAATATAAGCATTCAGAAGCATGAGACAAATTAGAGAAAAAAATGATATATACTAATAGTTATAGATGCAATGATAAAGTAAGTAATGAAGATTTAATTAACTACTCTATTATGTTTATTTCAAAAGATTTTAATTGATATAAAAATTAAATATATATCTATAATAAATTAATATATATTTAAAATAATTTTTATATTTATATTAATTAAAAAAAAGATTTAATTATATTTTTGAAAAAAAAATAAAGCCTTTCCCAATTAATATTATTATAAATTTAATAATTATTAAAAACGTTTAACACAAACAAACAGTACGTAACACGGTTTTAGAACTTAATTAGGGGAAATTTTAATAAAAAATAAAATTTAATAAAAAATTAATATTATTATAAATTTAATAATTATTAAAAAGGTTTAACACAAACAAACAGTACGTAACACGGTTTTAGAACTTAATTAGGGTAAAATTTTAATAATTTATTTAATTTTAATAAATTTAAATATACCCATAGCCATAGTTCATGCACTCGAGCTAAAGATAAATCGCCCGACCATCGAATGGTTCTTTCACTTCTTTGAGGTCTTAAAAGTTACAAGTTACAGGACGCATTTCGTTAAATGTATGATCGACAGTTGATCGAATGGTTCTTTAGTTTTAAAATGTATGATCGAACGATCTTTAAAAATCTAAATTGAATTGCAGCAAGAAGAGAAAGTCTTCGGCAAGTAGGACGACCTTTTGGAAAGTTACACATTAAGGCCCCACCACTACCAGGACCATGGAGGCTGCATTCTTTAAATACTATGCTATCCCTTAATTTCTAGGGAATTAATTTCTTCAATAAAATCCATGGCGACCAATGGAAATCGAAGCAGTGAAGGTTATGAAAACGAGCAACCCTTCTGTAAGTGTTAATTCTGAGTCTCACAATTATTATGTTTTCGCTTCTTCTCATTTTTCTTTATAAAGCTTTTATCCAGCCATAAATTTTACTTCACTACTCCGATTTTGTATATATATGTGAGCTAGATTTTTTTTTTTTCTTTTTTCTCTAGCGATCATGGATCTAGATCTATATGATTTTAGTTCATCTTATAGTCCATTCCCCACAATTTCCATGGATCAAGGCAATCGGCAAACTCCGCAGCAACAACAGTCAAGTCAACCAGAAGAAACAAATAGATGTTTGTCACGTCACTTGTTGGGCAATCAAGGTAGTCAAGCTGCATCTAGAACGGAGCTATTCCTTCAGGAACAATTACGTTCACCTTCAAATGAAAATGCAATCGAATTGTTGTTAGAGGAATTCTGGATCAGTCAACCGCAAGGCAGTCAACCACAAGGCAGTCAACCGCGAACTGATCAACGAGTGGGTCAATCTCAGGCAACATCTATCGGGAGTACTCATTCACAAAGAACTGAAGAAGAAGAAGCTGAGCGGCGTCTGATGAGAAAAAGAGAGAACGATAGAGCATATAGGCTGAGAGTAAAAGTAAGCGTCTTTCTCTTTTATAATTTGCACGTTGTGACCTTTGTCTTGAATTTGTTCTTTTCCTTGGTATCCAGAAAAAAAGTGAGGCCCTTGTGGATGAAAATGATCAACTTAAGCAGGCGCTTGGGGCTGCAAAAGGGAGATTGAAGCATGAAATTTCAGAAAAAGAAGAGCTGAAATCCAATCTGGAGGCAGTTAAAGCAGAAATTGTGAGATTGAAACTTGAAATTCAGTCTTACGAACAAATAAGGATGGATGAACTTCAGGACGAAGTTAAAAGGTTAAACATTGAATTGGAATCTGAAAAGTCAAAAAATGACTCATTGAATCAAATGTTGGAAACACTATCAGTGGAAACGGCTGAGCTTCGAAATCAGTGTGTTGAGCTGATGCAACAAAATGTAACTGTAACTCTTGTTCCTAATTTATTGGAAATTTTGATTTTGTTGCAATATACGCTGCTATCACAAACTCATCGGTTAATTGGTTTTCGCTGTAGGGGCGCAAAACAACCTCAATCAGTGAAGATATGGTTAGCAAGGAGATCAGCGAATCTTTGCCAAGATTCTTAAGTCGCGAATGGAGGAGGATCAGATCCTTATTAAGAACTAACTTTTTTAAAAAACTTTTTTCAAGGAGATTGATAAAATTCTTACTAGCAAAAAAAATAAAAAATAACAAAGAAAAATAAATATTATTGTAGAAGGTATGGTGAGTTGCCTGCCATATGAGTTGCTGATGTGATCACCAAATGGTAGAGTTCTGGAGGAAGACTTTGCTGTGGCCATGATTTGATTTCTGTTGTTGTTATTGTATATACTAGTTTAGTTTGTAGAAATGGCAGGGGTATATGTATTTTGATGTTAATGCTAAGTTGCCTTTTTGTAACTGAATTGTACAGTAGTTTCCTGTGGAATACAACTTGTCGTTCTCCTTATCAAATTGTGTTGTGCATACTATTGTGGTTCTGATTACTGGATACATTATTAAACTGAAAAATCTGAATAGAAAAACAGTTTCCATTTTGTACATCAACTAAAAAACAAAAAATACAGGTGGAATAATTTTTCCATAAAATGAGAAGCAGTACTGAAAATCAGCTTCCATTTTGTCCATAAGCTTTCAAACACAGCCGCACATGTATCAATATAGATAAAAGCTGTCCAACACAGCTACAGATTTACAAAATAGTCAGCTTCTGTCAACATAAACTAAATAGCTATGCTTATCACTGCCATTCAAAAAAGGCCAATAACATAGTTGATCACTATCATTATACCAAAAAACATTCTCTAACACATCAGCAACTACCAGACCAGAGAATGCATCAAAATACATAATTGGATACTGCCATATCACCATGAACAACCTTCTATCATCAATGCTAGGCTCATGGCTGCTCTATACTAAAGTTCTGACTTTCTAGTGTGAAGCATTGTTACATCCCAAACCCAAAAGACCAGGGTTGAGCTATAACGTTAAAAACCAAATTTCAATTTGTGACACATATATACATATCTTTGAAGAAACATCCCTTCAGTCCTTTTAGAAAACATTTGAAGCAGTGTAGAGGAAATCATATTTAAAACTTCAAAAAAACAAAGACTTACTAGTGTGTAAGAAACAAGTTTTTGTACATCTTATAATTAGACAAACAGTAAGAAACTCAAGTTCAGGCTTTACAACACAAAGATATTTCCACTAGGAATAAATAGATATAATTCGTTTATAGATTCCAAGACAAAGCATGAAAGAGATTCTAAGTATATAATGTTGGGTTGAGGAGAGTGTAGCAGAGGAAAAAATTTAAAATTTAATCTTTTCCTCTTTTAACTCAACTAGGATCGTTATGAATCTATTGATAGTTAAGAATGGGTTTATGATCAATATGCCAACGACGCGTGCCTCATTGATGCATAGATGGATCACCACACACTCAAGGATTCAAAGCAAACTAAGTCTCTGAAGGTGCTAACAATCTAAAAGTCAATGAATTCTCCTACAGGGTTTTGGTAGAATAATTTTAGTGGCCTTAAATTGTACACGAAAGAATCAATTAGTGTTTCTATTTTCTATTTCTATTTATATTAATAGGGAATAAAAGACTTGTCATTTAAATCCAATTAGAATTACCAAAATTGGTTTCAGTCAAAATAGAAATCCCAAAAAGAAGAGTTTTTTTTCTCCCTTTTCTTTCTCCTTGTCACACACACTAGTCCATGTTGGACTAGGAGTGCCAACCATGGCCCTCCTTGCCTATGTGCCACCCCAAGTCCAAGTCCAATGGACTAGGGTTATGGCCCACAAGCCCTCCAAGGACTTAAATGTCACTTTGGATTTTTCTTGTCCTTAACTTAGAACAAATTGAAAAACTCAAACTTGAATAAATTAAATTAATTCTTTTTCCCAATTTATTTTCGATCTTGATTAATTTTATTTCTATTGTGAAAATACTATTTTCACATAAATTAATCCATATCCACAAAATTGGATTTATAGAAATTCTAATCCCCAAAAATGTACTAAGTGTATGACCCTCTAGGTTTTTATCATGATGGTAGTGAGATGCACTTACAAACCAAGAGTAGTATTTAGCAACACATCATGGCCACCCAAAGTCATAGAAAGAGTCAATGGCTTCAATAAACCTTCCTATGATTGATACTTGTGTAATTTAGTCCCTTTGTCATCGTTATCTCCATCAAACAAGATGCATGCTATGTGTCATCATCCTTGAAGCACTATATCTTTCTTTGATTTCCAAAGTAGACATACTTCTTGAATGAGTCTTCATTCATGCTATGGTCATGGCTTTTGCAAGTAGTCTTTTCTCAATCAAAAGGCTAAGATGTCTTCTCTTCTAAACTTGAGAGGGACAAATTCTATCTTGACTCGTCCATTACTTCATTTCTCTCATGCTATTTGTGATGCATTCAATAACTATAATACTCACAACCCTCAAAGTAGTTGTTTTTAACAACATCAAAGTACACAAGTCCTCACATAGAATAATGGTGATCTCAAGTCAAGGGATCACTTACACTCATGTCATAGTTGAGAAGCTATTAATGACATGTATATGTAAAGTTCTCATGGTTGGTTAGTCTAGTGAATTCACTTATTTTGAGTCACCCACAAGTCATGCATGACTTTGTGAGAAGAAGTCTTGCCACCTAACAAAGCATCACACATTATGGTCTTTATATCATTGATGCCCCATTATATATAATATATATAAAACCATTGGACAATTTAAGAATGTTGCTATTGCATCATAGAGTTCTCACTAATAGTAGGGACTACATTACCTTTTGATGCAATAGACATCCTAAGGGCTTTATTGATGTTTAACATATGTAGAAAAATAATAGTTAATATTTGATAAATAAATTGCCTCACATAAATAATAAATGTTGTAATCGCAAGTACAAATAGAGTTTGTTTAAGGGCACGCACTCTAACATATAATTCAACACCCTTTAATCCTTATTAATGTGTTTTAAACTATGAGACCCAATGGGTTAAAGTGGATAATTTTACTAGTGGATTGGGTCGTTATAGTCAAGTTCACATGCTTTCTTGAATAAAGAGAGTAATTTTATAATGACAGATAACATTGTAAGTGTAACAATTTATGTAAAAATAACTCTTGCGTTTCAAGTTAATAACATCTCCACGTGCACTTATGGATAAATTCAAACAGATATTCGAGATAGAGTTATTAGCTTTGCTAAGGAAAAGGCATCTCCCTTGTCAAAGGAGATTGCCTCAAATGGGAGGCTAGATGTTCTTTATATATCAATTTTGTTAGAATTGTAGTCTTTTAGTATATTGTTCATTTTTTTTGTACAAAATATTGGTAGTAGCCTTAAAAAAAAAAAAGTGTTGCTTAGTATATTGTGTTGATTTGATAATATATTTGCATTTCACCAAGAAGAAAAAAAAACACCTTTTAGGTTTCTAAATTAGGCAATAAACTTTTTTTTTCTATTTAAAGATACCAATTTTGCTCTATTTTGATTAAGATTGTTATTTGTCATCTTATCATCACTATCTAATAAATTCTTAAATAGAAAAAACATAAAGTATATCTACTCATTTAGAAAAAAAATTAAAATTTACCACCTAATTTAAAAACTTAAAAAGTTTGTATCATTAAATTAGAAAAATGGCAAAGTTTGTATCTTTATCTGCACCTTTTCTCAACCTGAGGGCAATGTGACCATAAAAACTATTGCATCAATGGCACAATATTTCCTAAAAAGAGTGATTGATCAATACCTAAACTCACTATTTTTCATCTTTGAGGACAATATTTAATATTTTTTGAGTTTGGTACTAATTTCTCCCATTTTTTGTTGTGAGGAACAATACTAATTTGGTAGAATTTGGTGAGAAAAAGCAAAGAATAATTTTCATATGTGGTATATGTAATATCCCAAAATTTTCTAAGATCTTAAAATTTAAGTTAAGGACTTATGTGGTAAAAATTATTTTTGTTGGATTTAATAGCTAAAATTTACAAAACTAAGGGCATTTAAAGTAAAAATTTGAGGATAAAAAGGGTTGAGCTGATTTCCTCTTTCTCTCCTTGCCTTTTTATTGTGGTTTCCCCTTAACCTTTAGCAGAAATTTTGCTCAATAATTCCTAACTCATGTCATCTTCATCCTACTAGAATAAGGTGAGATTTAGCATTTTTCTTTTTTCTCCTAACAAAGGTTAGAGTTTTATGAGTTTATAATTTTTAAAATCATGATAAAAACCCAGATCTTGCTGCTAGTATCCTTTTATTTTTTGGTCCATGTCAGGTTGAGGAGAGGCTACCATTTTTTCAGCACTTGCAGCAAGAAATTTGACATATTGCTTATGTTTTCAACTTTAATTTGAAGTGGGTTATCTTTAATCATTTAGGGTTTTCAATTTTGGAAGTGTTTCTGTAGTTTCTCCCCTTGATTTTGCCCATAAACTAGCATCATTAGCTTTGATATCTATTTTTGTTGCAAATTTAGACTACATGACCCTTTTGTAGTAATTTACCCATAAGTCTTTATGTAGCTATCAGGTTAAATTCATTTTTAATTCTATGAAAAGCTAAGAGATAACCCTATAACTTTTATGTTGTATGTTTAATCCAGTTCAGTTGTTTTCTTGGTGGAAAATCTGCTAAAATTCTGGTTCCCACAAGTAGACTTAATTGGCAGCCCAACCTTATGTTGGTTTTTTAGCCATAACTCTCTCTGTAGATATCGGATTAAGGTAATTCTTGGAACTATAGAACGCTAAGACATAGGGCTACAATTTATCTATTGACCACTCAACCAAGATTAGTCAATTTTTGGGTGTGCATTTTGTTGGAAGCTCCAGCATGAAATCTGATTAAAACTTGACAAAAACTTGCTCCCTTTTTTGTTTTATTCCCACTTTATCTACTACTACATTGTATCATAGTTTTAGTAGACTTTTAGTTGCCCTTTTTGCTATTTAAATGTTTGTTCATTTTTGCCCAGTTCTAACTTATGTTCTACCTTGTTTTGTTGTTGTCTTTTTGCCTAGAAACCCTTGCCGTTCAGGGCTTATTCCAAGCATTTTGGGAACTGCTTTAAATGGAAAAAAAAAAAACCCCCACTTTGCTACCCAATACTTCTACAGCGTCTCGAATAATTAAAGAGTTCAATTTCTCACTATTTTGCCACCTTATTGTCCAGAAAATCCATTTGGGATACCTGTTATTCATGTGTCTTTTTTGAGCAATTTTAAGCATATTCTAACTATTTATTTGATGTGGTATAGGCTCTAAATCACCTCAAGAACCTTAACTTCTTGAATTTCTTGCTTGTTGTATACTTACAATGCTAGATGAGTAAAATTGTGATAAATGCCCTTGGATTTTAAGGTAAAGGTCTTAAAAGTATATTTTAAAATATTTTTTTAAA